TGCTAGTTGGGCTATCCAAATGCAGCATTTTAAAATTTGAGACCGTTGCATCAACTAAGAGCTGTGATGAGTGAAGATGCTTGTAGAATTCTCTTGACCAGAAGAATAATTTAAAAAAAAAAAAAAAAATCTAACGTGTTTACAAGAGAGCCATTGTACAGGAGAGTCGAAGTTGCACAGATGTTGACAATTCAGAATGATGTCCTTCTCAATGACTTTCTGCCTGAACTGCTCTGTATGTTACCAAGAAAGACATGTACTGCAGCTCACCTGAGAGACAGGTTTTTATTAGCATTTTACTGCTAAGTTGGGTATGACGGAACTTAATTTAACTTAATTTAACTTAATTTAACTTAACTTAAATTTTAGAGGAACAATAAGCTAAAGTGCTATTAAAATATGATGCTGTATTCACTGAGTAATAAATTCTAGCAGTTGCAGATCCTTTTTATGTTCAGGTTGTTATCTTGCAATAAAATGTTTTCAGGTACACTGGAACCTTTCGGTTACTAGGACAGTATATTAATTTCTTCTTTCTAGCTTTAGGCTTGAATTAACAAAGTCTCCAAACTGATTTACTTCTGCACAAGACCTAAGAAAAATAGTATTGGTATTATGTTTCATTCATCTGTTTTGTATGTTTAAAGTTTATACAGCAATCTGTGGTGCAGAAAAGCTGTAGACAATGATTTACTGTGTCTTTGAAGTTGTCCTTGGGATTCTAGGTATGGCTAAAACGCACATTTATGAAGCGTGTTTATGGTGATGAACGGACATACAACCATTTCAGAACAAGGTGCATGACTTAACTGTTAGACACACATGGCATGTGACAGCTAATAAAATGAGTAGTGGAAAGGTGAAACTGCAAGGCGGGCCATTAGGCTAGGCTAAAATCTTACCTAAATGTAGTGTTACGACTGTCTCTTTTTTTCCCCTCTTCTGCCCTATATCTCCTGTTTGGACAATATATTTCAAAATGAATTCTTCTACTCCCTTATTCAAAGAATTTGAAGTCAGGTTTGTTCTCAGCCTGCACAAAGGCAATAGGAACCCCCAGCCCTTCATAGCAGAAGCTGGCAGAGAAGCAAAAGTGGCAAATCTAACGTGAAATGAGTTAGGTCTTTGTTTTCAAGATTAGGGTTAGCTGAAGAACTAGGTGCTACCCTTAGCATCCTTTAAAGCAATACATAATTTTGAAGCCATTTAGACAAAAATTAATGACAATACAGTTAGGTGGTGGGTGTAGAAGTTAAATATTGACTAGATTCTAGTCAAACATAGAAGTTGTTAGGGTAGGTAGTTGATACAACTGTGATGCAAGTAGCTTTAAATACGTCCCTGTATTTTTACATATTGGCTTCCATCTGTCTGCTTTAATGAAAATACTGTTTCTGAAGTCTCTGATTTCTTTTTAGCTAAATCTTAGATCAATACTTGTCGTTGAAACACTTGTCTGAAATTTTCTGTATCTTGATTTCAATAGCTGTGCATTTGGTTCTGCCCTATATTCCTTTCTGATCACATCTTTCCAGTGCTTTTTGAATGACTCTCCTCATCTGTGCTCCTCTCGTACCTGTGAGTAACATCGGTTCGATCCCCGTGGTCACCCTTTCTTCTGCTGTAGTCCATCTCTAGGGGAGATTATTTTTAGACATAAATCTGACCAGCTTTTCTGTTCATGACTCAAGCTAGTCACTGGTACCCTAAGCTATAGTTTTTGATCTTGTCTAATTGGTGTCTAGCACTGTTGCAAGCCCAGTGTAGCTAAAGCAGAGCTCCCGTTCTTGACCCAGTGCGTTGGACTCAAGAGCCGACGTTTCCTTGGTCTGGCTCCCGCTGCTGAAGCACCGGCTGCTGCGGCACTGGTGGTCTTGACGGCCAGAATGCAACAAAGTCTTTAAAACCGTTCTGGTTTGGATGTGTGCCACTTCTTTCCACTTGAAGCTTTCTATTTTAGAAGAAATTCCTTACGGCATGCTGCTATGTTAGTGTTGTGGCTCCGTAGAAGAAGGTGTAAAGATCCGTTATTCGCTAAAACTACAAAAGCACTTCCAAAATTACTATCCATGGTAATTGCAAAGCATTCACTTAAGCTAGACAAATGAGAATAGCACAAAAAATTGAGTTGTCTTCCTCTTTAATTAACAAATTTGTTCATCTGTTGGAGTGCAGAATAGATAACACAAAAGCTTATTTAAATATTCTTAATAATAACTTACCAGTATTTTCTATTACACACTGTTAGATGGAACAAGATAATTTGACAAGTTTTCAGTCTAGTTTTTGATATTGGCCAGTGTCTAATACAACTACAGAATGAGTTTAAGTCAGGGAATCAAGTCCTTAAATGTTCTGTTTAAATTATGAATATCCACTTAAATATAACTGTTAGATAAGATGTGTTCTGGCAAGTATTCATGTCTCTGAAATGTTTTGCTTTGTAACAGCTCCTCTTAAAAGAAAAAAATAAATTGTTATTTATAAGGCTGCTGTAGCTCCTATGATTAAGGTATTGGCAACATCTCTAGATTGCAACTTTTAAAATAACCTCATTGCTTTTAGCATTTTCATTTACAATATGGTTTAGAAAAATTGCTAGGTTTTCCAAGTAGAAAAGACTTGAGAAGCAGGCGGGTAGAGAGTGCATCTGTAACCTGTGTAAACAGACTTTGTTAGTTCGGCGGGAGCTCTTGCCATCTATGGCTGCAACTATAAACAGTCGTCCAGTAGCTGAAAAATACAGCGTCAGAACTTTTTTGCAGAGACTGTTTGTTTGCCTCTGTTCTTCAGGTCAGATACAGACATTCTCTGTTAGGAACTCAACACGTGTGGTATAAAAGTAACATCATGATTTCTTCCTGATGTTCTCATGGTTTTTACAAAAATCGGTGTTTAAGATCATACCAGTAATAATTTGATTCTGTCATGTGAAAAATGCTGGGTTTGGAGAAGGGTGCTTCTTGTGTCATCTAAGTTGAATGAAAAGAGAACAATGCATTAGAAATAACTTACTCATTGTAAATAAGTGTATGCCATTGTTGTTTTGGATAAGAAGCGTACCACTTTCTTTAATATGAAAGTATCCTTTTTCATGACTTGTGTGAAACGGAGAGGTTTCGGGTTTCATTTATTAATCAGGCTGTTGTGATAGATGGTGACCGCTGCTGCGTACCGTTCCTCTGTGTGGGCTGGCGTGAGCAGTGGTGTTTGAGAGCTGCAGGATATACACATTCCTGTCTCGTTTTCATATAGCACCTTTCTGTTAATGCACAACACTTTAAGCATCCTTTCTATTCCAATGCTCTGCATAATATTTCTAATGACTTGTTTATTATATGCTAGCATTTGATTCGGAACTATATTCTCTTTGGCTGTTTCTTACTGCAAAGTTGTACTCATTTTGAGAGAATGCTTTTTTTTTTTTTAAACAATTTGGACTTTTTTTATATTGCTATTGCTGCCAACAGTGTCTTTAAGAAAAATCTAATAGCAATTAAATAAAATAATGTGCCTACCATAATGTTTTTTTCTCCCCCTACTTTAAAAATTATCCTAAAATGAAAAGAACTCTCTATTAAAAAAGAAAAAAGGCAGAGGCATCCCATCAAATCCTTACTGGAAAATAGTTTTTAATATTACTAAGGACAAGGTATACACCAACATCTGTTGATGCCTGTCGAAGGACAATTTTAATTCGTAGGGTTTTGTTAGTTACTATGTGTTAAGAGACACAATTATTTTTACTGCATCTCGTGATACCTGGGCGTGACTATTGATCAGGTCATTAGGGAGGAATTTCTTTCTTTTAAAGTAGAAATGCTTAGCATAAGGGAGAGGAAGAAACAAAAAGAAGAAAACACTTCCTGCATGGTAGAAAAAGCATTTAAATTATTTCATTTGCTGGAAAACTGGGATAGATTTAAGCAGTTGTAATAGTCTTTAGAAGATTTCTTGTCTTGCCAGATATTTGTATAGCCAAAGGATAAGATAATTTAAAATTAATCCTTTTCCTTATTTTTTTCCCCTAAAATAAACATCACGAGTCTTTTTCTGTAAGGTGAAAAAAGGGAAGATTCATTTTTCTCAAATGTGCCTTGGAACCTACTCCATTTACTATTTTGCCATTATAAATAGATTCTTGGCAATTTATATACTAGTGCAGATGCAGGCAATTTTAAGATAAAACAGAAGTGATCAATCATTCTTGTGACTGCAGTATGGCGCGGGGGGGGGGCAGGCAGCAAAAAGTGATTCCTTGGAAATTATATTTTTGGGAGTACCGCTTCCCAGCTCCTCCTGAGGACTGATTTAATCTGGCAGAAGGGTGACTTCAGCAGCGGTGCCTGCTTTAATGTGCTGTCTAATTAGTCATGAGACCTAGTTTTCCTTCTGGCCAGCAGTAAATAAGCTTGGGTTTATTTCTGGATTACAGGATAGTAGTTGAAACAGCCATTAGAAAAATGGGTTTGGTAAACTTTTCAAAGAAAACACCCTTATGTTCTGAGAAGAACAACCCTGTGGACTTCCAGGCAAGCGAAGCAGGGATCCAATGCAAAAGAAAATTATTGGTAATAGAATAATTATGTGGTAATCGAACTGTGGTGTCCACACAAAGAATTGGACCAGCTGCCCAAGCTTGATTCTGGCATCCTTAAATCCTGATGTTCGCCTTTGATAAGAGAACAGTTACGTTTGTGTGCAATGACTCCTTTAAGATAGAAGCTGAGGGTGAGTGGGATAAATAGGTAGGATGGGCAGCTGTGTGCTGAGTCTGGAACAGAGCAAGGTAGCTAGTGATGGTCAGCTGTGCTTGCAGAACAGCAACCCATGCCACGGAGCCGGTATATATCCTGATTTTGACAATAATGTGTTGAATCAGTGGCATCTTTTTAGAATTACTTGTTTGCTATTTGTGCTAAGACTTGTTGTGTTTCTTTGTTGTGTTTGCTTTTCTTAACAAGCACAGAAGTAACGAGAGCTTCTCTGTTTCTCTGCAGCTTTTACGAGAGTTGAAGCACCCTAACGTGATTGCATTGCAGAAGGTTTTCCTTTCTCATAGTGACAGAAAGGTTTGGCTGCTGTTTGATTATGCTGAACATGATTTGTGGGTAAGTACAGATTTTCCTAAGTGTTTGAGGTAGTGTAATACGAGCTTGTTCAAACTGAAGTGTGTGGTGTACCTTCATATAGTGCAGAGATGCATAAATTTCTTGCTTTGTAATTAAGGGTCTAACTGACATCCTGTTCTTTGTACACTTTAAAACCTGCAAAAGGCTATGTAGATTTTTTCCAGTCAGATTTTATTTTGAAGCTAAAAGAATTTTCCTACAAGCTTTAATCGTTCCTAAATTGAGACCTCCTAAAATAGAGTTTGGAAATGTATTTAGTATTTTCTTTTTTCTGCAGTTTTACACAGACACACACAGACACAGACACACAAGAGGAACTGCTTTACTGAGTCTTCTCACTGAAATATACTGGGTGACCAACATTCAATCACCTAATTCTAAACAGTGAATTTGTGACAGTATGAGTGGAAAGAAAATAAGAAAAAAAAGTAAGCACTGCTAATTGGGCCTACTGATAGACTATCACTATGTGGAAGAGCAGTAGAGACTTAGATGTCTATTTTTAAGTTTCCAGCAAAATATGATATGATCTGATTTAATCTATTGTAGAGGTGGACATCAATGACATCATGAGTTGAACTCAGATACAAATATTCAAGCTCCACACCTACTGATAAGATCTGAGTTGCTTACACCTGGATTTGTGTTTAAACCCAAAAGATATCAAACACTTACTAACAGTAATCAGTATGTTTAGAATTCCTTTGAAAAAACTGGCAAGGAGAGGAAGTGGTAATATTAATTGTAATATTACTTCTTAAGGCTTCAGTTATATAGAAGTTGCTATTACTAATCTTAGTGACAAATTGCTCAATTTGTTTGTACTTAGCTCTCAAGACACAAAATTGTAATCTGGAAGGAAAGTAAACTTAGACCATGCAAAAAGATACTTCTGGCTCAGAACAATTAAAGTCATGGTATTTCATTCCCCTTCATATGCTTAAAAATATTTAATTTTATTTCTCTTATGGGGTAGCAGCTTTGTATTTTAAAAGTTTTTTTCATCAAAGTTCAGTGTGCACTGAGAGTTTGTGTATTTCTCACAACTGGTGACAGTGATGATGAATAGGATTGCAGCAGCTAAAACCCTGTATGGACAGAATTTATTTGTGCATCAGTAGAGTTTACTCATTTTATAGAACAACCACAACAAACACACTTTACTGCTACATTGAATGGCATATTTAAAACACCTTTTTTCTAACTTTTTCCATTTCAATTTATTTTGGGCATGTAGTTTTTATACTACATGGTGATTTTTCACATGATTTAACAGCTTTAGATAAAGAATCACTGCAGTCTAATGTTCCTGCCGCTCCTCACATCTGGCTGGGTATTGGTCATAATCTCAGTGAAGTTAATTCTTTTCTAGTATTTGAGACTGAAATGTTTATTTGATGTGAACTGGTCTCCCACTTCCTAACTCTCTTGCTTTTTTTTTGTATGGGACACGCTACACAAATCATTTCTCCTTTCCTATAAAATTGCCCATGTTCCCTTGCTTCTTAAGCCTTTGCCAGGAATTCTTTTTCCTCCCTTGCATAAAGTTAGCCATGTTCAGGGCACTCTTGGTTCTGGCTTAACCTTGGTCCTCATTTCCTTTACCGTCAGCACTTCCCAAGCATCGCTCTTAATTCCCCTTTTGTCTCTTTTGCTCACTCCCAACTTTGTGTCTTTTTCCACGCTGCCTCCTACACATGGAACAGCCTCCCAATTAACGTACGTAAAGATCCTTCACTATCCTCCTTCGAAAAACTCCTGAAAATCCACTTACTTTGTAATGCATTTCAGTAATAACAACCACTTGTCATTCTGTCTGTGTTGTGTTGTGTTTTGCATTTCCTGTGCTTTACGGCTTGTGCCCTTTCAGCTCTTTGGGGTAGAAATCGTAGTAGGGGACTGGCACATTTTGTTACTGCTTAGCGCCATGTGCTCCCCCAGCACTACATAAAAAGAAAATAAGTCTATTCATTGTGGGTATCAGTTTAGAAGGATTTAAGTTTTGGAACTGTAGATGTGCTGTCGCTAGAGAGATGTAGATTCCCAGAGACCAACGGTTTCTAATGTAGGTACCTTAGAGTTACTTACCAAATCTGTCTGTAAGTATGGAAATCGTCCTTCTGTTCAAAGCTGCCCAGCTTTAGTGACTCCTATTGGCTTCAATGAGAAGAGTAAATGCTCATCACTTACAAACATCAGATTAATTAAAATCATTAAATTTTTGTCTTCTGTACTGGAAACATTTGGCAAGAGATGAATAAACTATATTAGATGCTATCTTACTTTGTTCATTTTGTAATATTGAAAAAAAATTGTCCCATTCTAATGAGGAAAAGTTATGGTGCCAATTAAGCTTATTAAAAAGTTCTTTTATGGTGAGCAAGAACTTTTTTTTTTTTTACTTTGCATTAAATTCGCAAGGATTAGACTGCTCAAATCTGTAATTTGAGTATAGATAGTGGCATACTTTATAACTTGCTACAACTTCTGTTGATGCCATTACCAAGGGATGAAGAAAGCTATGCTAATTTGAACTACTTTTGACAGGTATTGGTGAAGACTTACTATGTTATCCTTGCCTGCAAACATATTCGCCATTTAATAACTAAGCCTATCAAAGATTTTTCCTTCATCACCTCTGAAGTTACATTATACAAAACAATGCAAAGCCATTCATGAGATTGCAACAAAGAATGTTGAAGAATATAGCAATTCTTTTGACCAATTGATTTCTAAATCTTGTTTGCTTTAATTACCAAAATTCTTAGTGTAATCCACAGAGTATTTTCTTGTCATTTTTCTTGGCTATTAGACTCTGTCAACTGGTAAAGTTCTTAGGCTGTTGGATATGCCACATATGTTAATTTATAGTGTATTGTCTGCACTGTCATCACTGCTTATATATGCTCATGCTATGAAGTAAATGTAAGATTCCTTAGCTTGTACCTCAGTGTAAAAGGAGCACCTGATGCAAGGTTACAAATGTGTATGTCCACAGATGCCATTGAATATCTCATACATCATAAGCCACATCCTTTCTTAATTCCTGGTAACTTGCTTCAGTCTCACACCTTTATATTCCAGTTGTCTGAAACGTTCAGCTTCAGATGCTCATAGCCACAGAACCAACCATCTCCTGTTCCTTCTCTTGTGAAGGACATTCCTTTTTCAACGTCTACTCATAAAGTCTTGGATGCTTTTAATCCAAATTGTATCCAGGTTTTCTGCCTTGCTTAATTTATGTTGAGATAAAAAAATGTAATTCAGTTAACACATAGCTGAGTTAATCTTAAGTCCACGAGTGGAACTGATACTATTTTTAAGTTACCTTTTCCAGTACACAGTTAGAACTTCATAGTCTTACAAACTATGCATGGATGAAATCTTTCCAAGAAAAAGTGTAATTCCTTCAACTAATACGTGTATTTTCCTGCTATGTTCATTCTTGTCGTTAAAAAAAAAAAAAAAAGGTTGGTTTAGATGCATGAATTTTTGCTGTTTTATCACTAAGGAATAAATTTATTTTCCTATTCAACTTTCATGTATGTTCTTATTTTACCTTAGTCTTAAGTTGTGTACTGCTGTCCAGAACTTCTTATGTAAAGCTCATGCACTTTAAGACATTATTCAAATTTACAGTAAATACATTAAATGCATGATGATTACTTAATTGGACTTTAAGAAGAGTGTGATACAAATGAGATCTGCTCTGGAGGTGAATTCTTTTTGTTGTCAGTGCAGTTACTTTTAGCCATTGGAGAGGTTATAATAGTTAGAGCCAGCTTTTGTTCCCAGCTACTCTCCTATACTTTTACAGCATCAGCTTTTTAGTATTGGAGGTATTTTTTAAAGCACACATTTTTGGTTTTAGTACTGCAGATAAACACACATTCAATGTCTTCAATTCCATAGTCTCCATATTTTTAAATAGGATTTTTGATTCTAAGCAACATTTTTGTAACTCTTTTTTTATATTCTAAATTTATAGAGTATCTACTTTTCTAGCTATGGTACAGAGTTAATTCTCAGACTCATCTAATATGTCCATGTAACTTCAAAGCTTTAAGATTTCCTTTTCTGGAAATCTATGTTGTAACTTAAATCAGAAGCTTCTGAAATGTTTATCATCTCATTCTGAAAAACAGCGACATTTTTATCACAGTAAAATGCGTTGAATGTGTTTTATAGCCATAAAAAAAATTGTTGGCTTTTAATAAGTGATTAAATAAATTATTAACTATGATTTGGTAATATTCAATGTGATGATACATTCACTATCCAAGAACAGTTAAACCATGATCTGGGTATTTTTTAGGTTTGGTTGATTGTTTCTCTCTCATTGTTAGATTCCAGTGATCTCTAACAACTAACTGCTTAGCAGCAAATACAACTGAGAAACTTGGAGTAAAATTAATTTTGAAATTATTGTTGATAATCATAGAAACATATGCACAGACTGGCTTTGTATTATATGAAATACTTGTAATGTATATATTCTTCTTTTTAAAAGTGTAGGATAGAGATTATAAGCGTAATCGTGTGTACCTAAAAATAATCATCAAATTATGGAAAGGAGAAAATATTCTTCCTACATGTGAATTTTGCAACACTAGCTGACTCTCTCAATATACAAATAAATGTACTTAATTTCAGCTAATGACATTTTGAATAATGTTCTTATATGCTAAATGAAGTTGTGAGGGTGTTTGTATACTGATTTATGCAATAAACCTGCATGTTTGTTTAATCACATGAATGTTTTCTAATGGATCTGAGTTTTAAAGTCTTCCTCAAATATGGAGTAATCAGTTATAATTTTTACTTCACTAGGCTTTAGTTTAGCTCTTAATCCTGAGGATAATTCAGATGCTAGTTGATCACAAATATTTTTATATACATGAAAATACTTTTCTCAGTGTAGCAGTTTTATTTTTCTCTTTTAATTTTCTATAGTCATGCTTTTTTTTTTTGTTGTTTTT